AAGAAAGAAAGAAAGAAAGAAAGAAAGAAAGAAAGAAAGAAAGAAAGAAAGAAAGAAAGAAAGAATTTTCAAAATAGTTGGGGTGGATGAGCTGGTACCCAGATGTAGCTACATTCTGTTCTTCAAAAACTGCTCCTTCTCACTGAATCGAGGACTAAAGACGTGGCTCCGTTACAGTGCGTACCTGTAGTGTAGAAGCCCTGAGTTCAATCCCCAGCACCAGATAAAACTGAGTGTGGTGGTGTATAACTTCAACAAGCCCCCCTTCCCCTGAATTTAGAAGACAGAGGTGGGATTAGGAGTTCAAGGTCATCCTGGGTATCCATGTCTCTAAATTAATTAATTTTATAGGCCATTGATGTGACTCAGTGGTGAAGGTCCTTGCACCAAGCATGACAATCTGAACTCAACCCCAAGGTCCCACAATGTTCAAGGAGAAAACCAACTCCCACAAGCTGCCCTCTGACCTCCACACACATGCCCTGCCATTCAGATCCACACATACACACAGAAAATAAGTCCTGACATAGTGATTCACACCTTTAATCCCAGCACTCCAGAGGCAGGAGGATCTCTGTGATTTAGAGGCCAGTCTGGTCTACAGAGTGAGCTTCAGGTCAGCCAAGGCTACATAGAGACCCTGTCTCAAAGTAAAGAAGTAAATAAATGAACAGATGAATAACTTAAATGAGAGCTTAATTTTAAAACATTAACTTTTGGTTTATGTTCTAAACCTTTACTTGAAAATCAGAGTGTAGCCCTGACTGTCCTGAAACTCGCTACATAGTTCAAGCTGGCCTCAAGCTCAGAGATCCTCCTGCCTCTGTCTCTTGAGTGCTGGAATCAAATGCGTGTTCCACCACACCTGGCTCTGAAACTCAATTTTCATTGAAATGTTAATAAAAAATAATAGTACCAGGTGCAGTGGCACATGCCTGTAATATCAGGGAGGCAAAGGCAGGTGGATTTCTGTGAATTTGAGGTCAGCCTGGTCTGCAAAGGAGTCCAGAACAAGCCAGGGCTACACAGAGAAACCTTGTCTAAAAAAAACAAAACACACACACACACACACACACAAAAGAAAGAGAAAGAAAAATAATTGTAATGGGAGGATTCACAGAAGTTACTATAAAAGTGTTGTCTTTGACCATGTACTTTATTGAAAGGAAAATCACATTTTACAGTATTATGAGGGGACAAACACCACTCCTATTTTGTCATTCAATATTGACAACTTGAGAATATCACCAACCAAAAACAAGGTATAACAAAAGCTTGCCACAGACGGGCAGTTTCTCTGCATCTCAACATTGTAGGTAGAGGTGTGTGTGAGATCACTAGTTCATAGCCAATCTGGGCCACACAGACAGATAGATCTCTATGAGTTTCAGGCTAGCCTAGTCTTCCAGGACAACCAGTGATACATAGTAAGACCTTGTCTCAAACAATCAGAAAATAGGCATAGTAAAACAGAACAACAAAGCCAGGGCTGACACTATACAATTTTTTTCAGACCCTCAAGAGATGAGACCTGAGGTAATAGGGGCAACCCAGCCTCAGTCTCCCCAGGAAAAGTCTTCAGTATGGATATAGAATCACACAGATGCCATTCTTGAATGGATTTTCAAGTGTCGTTTCAAAGTCCCTGGCTGTCGGAAGGCTGCGTTGCACTCATTACAAATGTAGGGTCTCGAGTCGCTATGGATGCGGACATGGACTTTGAGGTTGCCCTTGTGGCTGAAGCATTTCCCACAGTGCTCACACTCATAAGGTTTCTCCTTTGTGTGAATCCGACTGTGACTCAGCAGGCTGGACTCGTGGGTGAACACCATGCTGCAGACTGTACACACATACAGCTTATTCCCCGTGTGAGTGCACTGGTGGACTTTCAGGTCTGAGGACTGTACAAATGCCTTGTTGCAGTTGTTGCACTTGAAGGGTCTCTCTCCTGTGTGTGACCTCTGGTGAATGATAAGCTGAGACCTATTAAAAAAACCCTTCTCGCATTCACTGCAACAAAACTGAGCCTGGCCAGCAAGATGAGCAACTGGCTGTACAGATGGTGGGTTAGCAACCTTTGGCTCTGTATCGACTATAATGGAGGCCCCTTCTTGGGAAGTGGGAATGTTGTATCTTTGGAAACTCTGAAGAGCTCTGTTCAAGGCTAAATTGCTTTCCAGAATATGGGTGAACGATGTGACAGCATCAATATTTGTATCTTCTTGGGACGTCACCAAATCCTTTACTCTCAAAGAACCTGCTGGAAAGGATCACACACAACACATTTAAAATTTGAAAGTCTGTCTCAAAAATAAACAAACAAACAAAAAAACAAAAAAACCCCACTACATTTATTTATTTGATTATGGAGAGCTGTGCCACCCTAAGAATATGGAGGTCAGAGAACAACTTTTGGGTTGGTTCTTTCCTGCCACCATGAGTGAGGACCATAGGGGATGAACTCAGGCAGCCAGGCTTAGGGGCAAGTGCCTTTACCTACTGAGATACACAATACTTAAAAAAGACCATTCCAACCATACCAGACCGTGTTGACTAGGAACATCCCATCAACTTCCCAAGCATAACAGGTCAGAGTGCTGAAGAGAGGTAGTAAGTTCCCAGTAAATTCCCACCTCATACTCACCAGGACCCTGTGTCAGCTGAGGGTCCTGATGCAGAAACACAAACGCCACACTGGAATCCTGTGAATCTCTCCCTGGGCTCTGCTCAAGTCTCGGGTGTACAGGTTCTCTGTTCTCAGGAACCGTCATCAGCAAAACTTGCTCTTTCTTGATAAGGGACAATCAAGAACAATTATGAGTGTGCTCATTGTAGAGAGATGGAGCATAGAAATCTGTCTCAATCTTGTTGGGACTTGGTCTGTGTTCTGTGCTGAATTCTCTGTCCCAAGATCTTGTTGCAGTCTGGATGAGGGCCATCTCATACGCACCAATCAATGTTGTGTAAACTGTTCCCCAATTATCTCTGGTTGGTTAATAAAGAGCCAATTTATTAACAGCTAATTCTGGACATCCAATTTTGGGCAGAGGAGATAGGTAGGCACGACCTCTATTCCCAGTTTTGGGGTCTCATGTAGAGACCACAAGTGGGGAGAAGAAGGAAGAAGAGGGAGGACATAACCATGAGAAATTGACCTGATGGAGCAGAAACAACTCAGACAGGACCAATATTGCATGTAAGTTGGAACACATGGCTGAGAAATAGCAAGACTAATGTAGAGGATTAGTATAAATGCATATCTGCCCAGTTGTTGAGCTTAGAGCTTGTTAATAAATCTCCTAAGTCTCTGTGTCACTTATTTGAGAAGTAGAATGGATGATAGAAAAGCCCCTCAAAATATAATTTTTCATCACAATCTGGTCCACTATTTTTTTTACAGAGTTGTGGGGATGTTCATACTTCTATATCCCACCCCACCACTCCACACAAACAAATATTCTCCTCTTATTTATACGTCTGCCATTAATGTGTAATTACCACACCTCTAAATCACCTATTGGCTGTTACTTTAATTCTCTAAGTACATGTTTCCCTTCCAAATGCCTCCCAACCTTGGCGCTATTAAGATTTAGGGTTAATGAGGCTAGAAAGATGGCTCAGAAGTTAAGAGCACTGGCTGCTTTAGCAGAGGACCTGGGTTTGCATTCCAGCACCCACGAGGAGGCTCAGAGCCATCTCCAGTTCCAGGGGTTCTGACACCTTCTCCTTCACCTCCAAAGGCACTGACAGGCACACATATAGTGTGCAAAAAGCAGCGCACACACCTGGACAAATACCCATACACATAAAAATGGAATAATTTCTTTAAAAATAGAAGCTGAACGATTCTGATCCAAGGAGGGTCTCCTATGATACACATTGTGGACTCTGAAGTGACAATGACTGGACACTGCTAATAAAACTCTTAGCCAGCTGTGGCATCCCACACCTTTGATCCCAGCACCAAAGAGTTAGAGGCAGGCAGATCTCTGTGAGTTTGAGGCCAGCTTAAGTTTGAGACCCTGTCTCAAAAATGTAAAAACCAGAGCTGGAGAGATGGGTTAAGAGCAATGGCTGTTCTTCCAAAGGTCCTGAGTTCAATTCCCAGCAACCACATGATGGCTCATAGCCATCTGTAAGGTGATCTGGTGCCCTCTTCTGGCCTGTGGGTACACATGCAGGCAGGATACTGTATAAATAAATAAATAACCCTGAGATTTCACCTTACACCCATCAGAATGGCCAAGATGAAAATCTCAAGGGACAACACATGCTGGAGAGGTTGTGGAGAAAGGGGAACCCTTCTCCACTGCTGGTGGGAATGTAAACTGGTACAACCACTCTGGAAATCAATCTGGCGCTTTCTCAGACAACTAGGAATAGCGCTTCCTCAAGATCCAGCCATACCACTCCTAGGCATATATCCAAAAGAGGCGCAAGTACACAACAAGGACATTTGTTCAATCATGTTTGTAGCAGCTTTATTTGTAATAGCCAGAAGCTGGAAACAACCCAGATGCCCCTCAACTGAAGAATGGATGCAGAAACTGTGGTACATCTATACAATGGAGTATTACTCAGCAATGAAAAATAAGGAAATCATGAAATTTGCAGGTAAATGGTGGGACCTGGAAAGGATCATCCTGAGTGAGTTGACCCAGAAGCAAAAAGACACTCACGGTATATACTCACTCATATAAACATACAATATAGAATAAACCCACTAAAAGCTGTACATCTAAACAAACTAAGCAAAAGAGAGGACCCTAACTAAAATGTTCAATCCCCATCCTGAAAGGCAAAGAGGATGTACATCAGAAGAAAACGAAAATAGGAAACAACCTCGGAACCCGCTACAGAGGGCCTCTGAAAGCCAGAAGAAAACAGGAAACAACCTTGAAACCTGCCACAGAGGGCCTCTGAAAGCTTCTGCAGTATAGACTGTCAAAGCAGATGCTGAGCCTGATGGCCAACTGATGGGCAGAGTGAATGGAATTTTATGTAAGAAGTGGGAAATAGTAAGAGCTGGAGGGAACGGGAACTCCACAAGCAGAGCAACAGAACAAGATAATTTGAACACAGGGAACTTCCCAGAGACTCATACTCCAACCAAGGACTATTTGTGGAGAAGACCTGGAACCCCTGCACAGGTGTAGCCCATGGCAGTTCAGTGTCCAAGTGGGTTCCATAGTAATGGGAAGAGGGACTGCCTCTGACATAATCTGATTGGCCTGCTCGTTGATCACTTCCCCCCTGAGGGGGGAGCAGCCTTACCAGGCCACAGTAGAGGACAATGCAGCCACTTTTGATGAGAACTGATAGACTAAGATCAGAAAGAAGGAGAGGAGGACCTCCCCTATCAGTGGACTTGGGGAGTGGCATGCATGCAGAAAGGGGAGGGAGGGTGGGATCGGCAGGGGAGGAGGGAGGGGCTCATGGGGGGATACAAAATGAATAAAGTGTAATTAATAAAAAAAAATAAAAGATTTAAAAAAAAACAAAAAAAACAAATAATAATAAAAACTCCTAGCCATCATCTCCATGAAGGTTGATAGATCCAAAACATCTCCAGAGGGTGTGGTAGCCCACACCTGTACTTTCAGCTCCTGGGAGGTAAAGGCAGGAAGACTGGGAGTTAATACCAATCTCCCCTACATAGCTAGTTGAAGGTCCACCTGAGTTACAGGGGACCCAGCTTCAAACAAAACCAAAGCTATAACATCCCCAAGCCATCACCTCTCAGGGTCCAAACCTCCACCCTAGAAGGTCAAATTTGTATCACCAGGCTGGACAACAGGTGCCAGCCTGTTGACCACTGTGCCATCTCTCCAGCTCTTTCAAGTCACTATTTATGTGGCTATGTGAGTATAAGCCATGTACATGTTGGTGCCCAAAGAAAAAAGAGCACATTAGATTTCCCTGGGGCTGGAGTTAAAGGCAAATGTGAGCTGCCTGAAGAGGCTGCTAGGACTCAAGCACTGGTCCTCAGAAGATCAGCAAGTGCTCCTAATAGCTGAGCCATCTCTCCTGGTCCCCTCCCCACTCTTCATGATGAGTTTTAGGAGAGAAACAGGCTGGTGAATCTGCTTTCCCCAGTGTCCAAGCCTGTGGAGTATCTATGACCAAAGGGTCTGAATTTAACTCCCTCTCAAAGATGCTGATCTTCTAGTCTCTTCTCCCATCTCTCCCCAGAGATGTTGTTACACACTTACCTGACTGGTGGATGGCTTCATTCCTGGCTGGTTCTGCAGCTCTGGGAGAGCCTGGCCACTGCTGAGATGCTCCTCCGACAATACCACTACATTGCCACTCCATTCATCAGCCTTGTCTTTGGCCATCTCAAAATGATAATCCCATAGGAGGGATGTCTGTCCCTGGGAGAAGATTGTGGACTGTGGAAGAAAGGGAGCAGGATCAGATCCTAGGTAAGGCCCTAGAGAGTCTTCTCACAGCTCTCCAATTCTGTTCTGCCTCAGCATTCCACCTGGAATTATTTACAAGTTTATCTTCCATAATACTGTATTTACTTGGTACATACAGATGTTCTATCTGAATCATTGTTGGTCTGTATACTCTAGCATATGCCTCACACTTACAACATTTGATCAATTACAGAGACATGGTGTTATGTGGATGTGTTGGTCCCCAAGCTTGAGGAGAGCCGGGAAGAGACTATTTTCCTAAATCCAAACCAACTTGCCTATAATTCTAGGATTCTAAAAGCCGAAGCAGGAAGATGACTTCAAGGTTCAGGCCAGCCTGGGCTACAGTGTCTCAAAACAAAACAAAAACATGCTTCCCTTTACTTAATCTACCTAAGGCTCAGGGACCATCAGAGAAAAGATGTAGTTATTAAGATTCTGTGGTGGTTTGAACAGGAATGGCCCCCATAGACCCATGTATGTGAATGCTTGGCCATAGAGAGTGGCACTATTAGGAGGTGTGGCCTTGTTGGAGGAAGTCACTATAGAGGTGGGCTTTGAGGTCTCATGTATGCTCAAGCTACACCCAGTGTGGTTCACAGTCTCCTGTTGCCTGTGGATCAAGATATAGAAATCTCAGCCAAGTGTGGTGGGCACACCCCTTTAATCCCAGCACTCAGGAGGCAGAGGCAGGTGGATATCTGAGTTTGAAGCCAGCCTGGTCTACAAAGCAAGCTCCAGAACAGACAGGACCACAAAGAGAAACCTTGTCTCAAACAACAAAACAAAACCAAAATATTCTAAGAGGTGAGTGGGATAAAGCAGAGTCTTCTGGACATGGCAGCAGTGCCGAACTCATGAACCCACAGCAACTGCAGTTGCCTGCACAAGACCTTTACAATATCCAACCAGTCACCATTCCAGCAAGGAGTGAAAAGGGATCAGGGGTCACCACCCCTAACTGAGGAGCTATGGACAGCTGACGGCTTCTTGTGGGGATAATTGGTTTTTTGTGACCCCTGATAGTTCGACCCTGCTCCAGGGAATGATCCCACTCCCAGGACTGTATGTATAGCACAGACTGTATTCAGAGGCAGGGAGGTTATTTTTTAAAGAGGGGCAGGAAAGTTGGGGAACTGAGGGTATGGTATAGATCTGGAAGAGATTAGGGGAAGAATGGAAGGTGAAAAAAAAACTTTCCTTAATGGATTCTGGCCTGAAAAGACTCTGAGGGAAAATGGACCACCTTTCTTCCACTCACTGTGGCTTCATCCTCTCACACCCTATCAGACATAGTAGTCTACTATGGGGCATGTGAACCATGTGACTAGGGCAGCTATTCTGAAGTGAGAGCAAGGTCGATAGGTGTCCAAACCTGAAAAATTTCCATTTGGAGACTGTCAAGAGTAAGGATGGTTCCCCCTTCTCTGTTCTGTGCCTGCATGCCCCAGTGCATGTAGTCTTGCAACATCCACCTCCACTGTTTTCAAGGTAGTCACATAGCCTGGTGACCAGGATATGTCCATCTAGTACTTGGAATTCCTCTCCATGCAAATGGAGCATCCCTAGCCCATCATCCCTGGCCAGTGATATACATTTACCTGGAAACCCGTATCCACTTCCCCAAGATTTATATAGTCCCTATTCTCCCCCTCCCAAAAAAAAAAAAACTGTATCACTGGAAGAACTGTGTCACTAAAAGGGCTGTATCACTGAAAGAGCTGTATCTGAGACCCTCCTACCCTTTACCACACCCCCACTGGGCACTCACTCACCCTGCCAAGCTTCATTCCAGTCTTTTGTAAACATTGCATTGGTACCTGGCAGATCCTGGGCTCCAGAAACAGTCTACTGTTTTTTTGTTGTTGTTGTTTTGTTTTGTTTTTTCCTTTACTTGTTCACTGGTATACGGTACTAGGGCTTTGTTCAGGCAAGCACCCTATTACTGAGTCACAACCTCCTCCCCTCACTGGTGGAATCTAGGCATGCATTATACCCCTGGCCACTCTGCTGGCCCTTTGAAATGTTTTAGCTTGAAACAAGGTCTTGATAAGTTGCCCAGGCTGTCTCTGGACTCAACTGTGTTAAGGCCAGACTGGCCTCAAACATGATACTGTAGCCTTCTGGGTGGCTTTAAGTACAGGGTAGCACTATGTTGCCAGCCTCACAGAGTTATTGTTGAGAGAGGGTCTCACTGTGTAGCCCTAGCTGGCCTTGAACTCGGAGACACTTGTCAGATTCTGACTCACAGCTGGGATTAAAGGCTTGTACCATCATGACTGTTCCTTTCTCCACACTTTTTTTTTAAGATTTATTTATTTATGTATTTTATGAATATGAGTACTCTATTTGCATGTATGCCTGCATGCCAGAAAAAGGTATCAGAATCGATTATAGATGGTTTGTGAGCCACCATGTGGGTGCTGGGAATTGAACTTAGGACCTCTGAAAGAGTAGCCAGTGCTCTTAACTATTGAGCCATCTCTTCATCCCTTTCTTCACACTCTTAATGCTAAGCTTTAATGAGCGTCATTCTGCACAATAGTGTCAAAGCATGGGATATACATCTATGGCCAGTGTGTCCAACCCCAGCCTGCACCAAGTCTCTCAAACACTCCTGTTTTCTAGTTCCTTTTTCCAAACCACCCCTAGAGATAGTGTCACACACTCACCTGTTTGGTGGATAGATCTTTGGTCTCTGACAGGTTCTGCAGCTCTGGGTTGGCCTGGCCTCTGGTGAAAGGCTCCTCACTCTCATTTGATAGGTGTTCTTGGGACAATTCCACATTATCCTCTGGGACTTCAGCCTTCTCAAAACTGGAACCCGGAAGGAAGTATATCTGTTCATCAGAGTAGATTATGGACTGTGGGGAGAAAGGGCATAGGATTAGACTCCAGGTAAGAGCCTGTGTATAGCTCTCACAGCTGTTTTCTGTGCTGATTTAAAAGCCTAGCTTGACTTATTTGCAAATCTGTCTTCCTGGACATGGATTGGCCCACAAGGTCATACTCAACTATATAGTGAGTTGGGGACCAGCCTGGGGGGCTATGTTGGCCCTTATCCAGTAAACAAGAAGACAGGGGAGGGGGGCATGGCTGAAAAGATGGATCAGCGATTAAAAGCACTGACTGCTCTTCCAGAGGACCCAAGTTCAATGACCGAACCCACATGGTGGTTCATAACTGTAACTACAGCTCAAAGAGGATCTGACGCCCTCTTCTGGTCTCCAAGAGCACCAGACACACGTGATGCACAGAATACATGCAGACTTAAACAAACAAGCATACAAAGAAGAAGGAGGAGAAGGAGGAGGAAGAAGAAGAAGAAGGAAGAAGGAGGAGGAGGAGGAGGAGGAGGAGGAGGAAGGAAGGGAGGGAGGGAGGGAGGGAGGAAGGAAGGAAGAGAAGAAGGAGGGGGAGGAGGAGGAGGAGGAGGAATCCAGGGCTTGTGTACTCTGACTCAAGAAGCTGGCCATTGGCCAGTTATCTTGCAGAGTTTCTGGTCTGTATAAGCTCTGGGCTTCTTCTAAATAAAGGTTCTATGCTGCCTTCACAAAGACAAAACAAGGCCATAAAAGTCCCCTGTCATTCATCTCTTAGGAAGCAAAACTAACCTCTTGAGACCAACTGCTAAGGACAAGATCCTTTATGGGTTCTGCTCCTAGGCCACTGCAGCCCCCTAGCTGTCCTTCTAGGAGCCCACAGCTGAGACCTTGCTTACCCAGTGGTAATGTTTCCCTTCCCTCAGCAGCTTTTCCAGTTCTTTGCAGCTCTTCACTCCGTTCTCCTTCACTAAGGCCTGCAGTTCTGGAGGCATGGAGATCATGAACTGCTCTATCACCAGTTGATCCAGTATCTCCTCCTTGCTATTCAGGTCTGGCCTCAGCCACTGATAGCATAGCTCAGAGATCCTCCTCAGATTCTGGATGGGGCTGAACCTCTCTGAGGGCCTGAAACCTCGGAACATCACATGACAAACCTCAGGGCTGTCGTTTTGGTTTTCTGCTTGTGTTTCCTGAGATATCAGGGATCGTGGCTGCTCTGATCCTAGGCTATCTGATGGTACATTTGTAGCCATGTCTGTGATGAATATTCCCCTTAGTCTCGGAGAAGTTCGAAGTGATTCCTGTTTGAACAGGCACAGGGATAGGCTCAGTGTTGGTCCAGAAGCCTGGGAGGCAAGAAGGAAGTGGATTAGTTTAATTTTGTTGCCTTATAAATTTCATCATTCCTTATAACATACCCTCCCCCAAACACACTGGGACTGTTGTCAGTAAAGAGGAAATTAATTCATCCTATAGTTCTGAGATTGCTCAAGGGATAGAGATGTCTTTGGCTATGTCCAATAACCTGAGTTGAATCCCCTGAACCTATATTGTGGAAGGTGAGAACCAACTCCAACAAGCTGTCTTCTGGCCTCCACATGTGGGCACTGGCATCCATCCCACCCCCAAGGTAAGTTCTTTTAAATCAGCTACTATATTCTAGCTGTGTATGATGGAATATACCTATAATTCCAGCCAGGGGATAAGCGTGAGCCTGAGGCTTGCCACCATTTTGAAACCATCCCAGGCTACACATTAAGAACCAAACCTAAAAGGGATGAAGGCTACAAGAGATTCATTCTCAAAATTAAGAAACAAACTGGGGGTGCTGGCACAACTTTAATCCCAGCACTCCAGGACAGAGGTAGCCAGATATCAAGAGTTCCAGGCCAGCCTGATCTACAGAGGGAGTTCCAGGACAGCCAGGGCTACACAGAGAAACCCAGTCTCAAAAACCAAAACAAAATCCAAAAAATATGAGTCTGGTGGCTCAACCCACAATCCCAGCACTGGAGAAGCTATGATAGAAGGATTGTTTGAAGCTAGTGTGGGCTACAGAGCAAAACTCAATTTCAATAAACAAAAACAAGCATACAGGAATTAGTCCATTCTATTCTTCCAAACTATGTTCCTACACATTCTGGCTTTAAGGAGTCAGTGGCTCCTGATCTCACCTCCAAGTGTGCATAGGTGGGGTCATTTCCGCCATCTGCACCTAGGAGTAACAATATTCTTGATAGTATTAAACAGGACTTTTCACCAGCAAGATGTGGTGGTGCATACCTTTAGTCCCAGCACTTGAAAGACAGGGAGAGGCGAATCCCAGCGAGCTCCACCACAGCCAGGTCTATACAGAGAACCCTACCTCAAAACAAAGACAAAAACAACCGAAAAGGGTGGGAGAATAGAGGGGTGACTGACTTTTTTATTTTAAGAGCCCCTGTTCTTCTTTTAGATGCTCTGAGTTCAGAACATGTTACAAACAAAGTTGTTGAGAGGTGTGCTAGCTCACACTTTTTTAAAATTACACTTTATTTACTTTGTATCCCCCCTCTAGTTCCCTCCCTCTTCCCCTCCCAATCCCTCCCTTCCTCCCCCTTCTCCACACACTCCCCTTCCCAAGTCCACTGGTAGGGGAGGGTTTCTTTTTCTTCCTTCTGATCCTAGTCTGTTAGGTCTCATCAGGAGTGGCTGCATTGTCTTGTAGCTCACACTTTTAATCCCAACACTTGGAAGGCAGAGAAAGGCAGATGTATGTGAATTCCAGGCCAGCCTTGTCTACAGAGTGAGTTCCAAGACAGCAAGAGCTACACAGAGAAATCCTGTCTCAAAAAAAACCAAAAACAAAATAAAAACAACAAGGGGGCTGAAAAGATGGCTCAGTTAAGAGCACTGTCTGTTCTTCCAGAGGGCCTGAGTTCAATTCCCAGCAACCAAATGTGGCTCACAATCATCTATAATGTAATTAATCTGATGCCCTCTTCAGTCATGCAGGTGTACACTCATGTGTATAAATAAATAAATCTTTTTTAAAAAAACAACACAAAAAAGGGAAAAAAATAAAAGCCAACCAACCCAAAACCCCACACAAAATTTTAAATAAATAATAAAAAAGTAAAAATCTAAAATTTATACATAGATTTACACTTGTATACCTGCCCTATTTTATTTTAATAATTAAAATGATAAAATAAAAACAGTTAATTGCAGGCATAATGGTATATGCCTATAATCCTAGCACTCTGGAGGTAGAGGCAGGCAGATCTGTGAGTTCTTGGTCAGCCTAGGCTACACAGAAAGCCAAAAGACTGTCCCAGTCTGAGAGAGAGACAAAAAGAGATTACAAGGTTGGGTGTTTTTCTTGAATCTTTGAGACCTTGAGTCACATCCCCAGCACTACCAAAATAAATTAAAAAGAAAAAACAAACAGAAACACTTCATCCTCCACCCACCCAAATAGTGTTAAAAATCTAGTAATTTTTAAATGTTTCAGGAATTAGATTTTTGTTTTGGAGACAAGGTTTCAATCTGAAAATTTGGCTGTCCTGGAACTCGATTTGTAGACCAGTCTGGCCTTGAATCCAGAGATCCACCTGCCTCTGTCTGCTGAATGTTGGGATTAAAGCCATGTGTCACCATTTGTCCTGCCTGACTAGGAACTGGAATTTTAACTGACAGCTATCCTCATTATTGATTTGAACTTGTTCCAAAATATTTTGGGGTTTTTGTTTTTATTTTTTGTTTTGAGATAAGGTCAGGCTGTGTGGCCCAGACTGGCTGGAAGCTCATTTCCTTGTCTGGGTTTGGCCTTACATTTAGAGCAATCATCTACTATATCTACCTCCTTGACACCTGGGATTTCAGGTCAGTACCTTATATCCCTCTCCAACGGATTCTTCTGTTCTTGATCCCAAAGGCTGGCCGATAGGTGGTGGTCATGTCTTTAATCCCAGCTCTTGAGAGGCAGAGCCAGGCAGATCTCTGTGAATTTGAGGCCAGCCTGGTCTACAAAGTGAGTCCAGGACAGCCAAGGCTACACAGAGAAACCCTGTCTTGAAAAAACCAAACCAAACCAAACCCAAAACCAACCAACCAAACAAAAAAACCCACTAAAACTAAAACAGCCAAGGCTATCTGCTACCTGGAAAAAAAAAATCCTGTTGTGAAAAAAAAAAGAAAGAGAGAGAGAGAGAGAGAAGAAAGAAAGAGAAAGAAAGAGGAAAGAAAGAAAGAGAAGAAATAAAGAAAAGAAAGAAGAAAGAAAAGAAAGGAAAGAAAGAAAGAAAGAAAGAAAGAAAGAAAGAAAGAAAGAAAGAAAGAAAGAAAGAAAGAAAGAAAGAAA